AGCTTTTTTTTGACACCTTCTGAACTTGCAAGACCTCTAAGAGAAACCATATCGCAAGAACGGCAAAGACGGTGGGACAACAGCGCACCTACCAAATTAAAGACAATAAAGAAAGAGATGCAACCGTGGATCAGCTCCAAATGCAGCAGTCGTAGAGAAGTCGTCCTCACGCGGCTGAGGATCGGACATACTAGAATGACAAACATCCACCTCATAACAAAAGATCTCATCTCCAGATATCAATAGTGTGACCAGTCATCAACTATAAAACATGTTTTGGAAGAGTGCCTCTTTTACACCACAAGGTTAAAAGAGCCCGGAATACGCCAGAATATATCAGCATCTCTGGGAAACCAAGAAGAAATTGTTACCAAAGTTATGAAGTTCCTAGACAATAAAAAAATTATAAACATATATGACAAGTTTATAACTAATGATCCTTTGCAGATTTATTTATTATTATTTTTATTACGAGCCGCCCGATCAACTAAGTAACACTATTTATATATTGTTCAGGTGGTTGGTACAAAAAAAAAATAAAAAAAGGATAAAAAGATAAAGATAAAAAAGGATAAAAAAAGAAAGATAAAAGGATAAAAATAAAAGAATTAATAGAATAAAATAAATGAATAATGATAATAATAGATAATAAGATAGAATAGAGAAATAAAATAGCAATAAAATCAATAAATGAATTGCAATTAATAAATCAATGAACTTAAAAAAAAATCTGCAAAGGATCATTAGTTATAAACTTGTCATATATGTTTTATAATTTTTTCATTGTCTAGGAACTTGATAACTTTGGATTTCTCCTTGATTTCCCAGAGATGCTGGTATATTCTGGAGTATTCCGGAATCTTTTAACCTTGCAGTGTAAAAGGGCGCTCTTCCAAAACATGTTTTATTGTTAATGACTGGTCACACTTTTGACATCTGGGGATAAGATCTTTTGTTATGAGGTGGAGGTGTGTCAGTCTAGTATGTCCGATCCTCTGCCGCGTGAGGACGACCTCTTCTCTACGACTGCTGCGTTTGGAGCTGCTCCACGGTTGCACCTCTTTCTTTATTGTCTCTAATTTGCTAGGTGCACAGTTGTCCCACCGTCATTGCCATTCTTGAGACATGGTTTCTCTTAGAGGTCGTGCAAGTTCAGATGGTGTCAAAAAGCTTTATTGCAGCTTGGAAGGATTTGACAACAATATGAAAAATTCTGTTTAAAAAGTAATCGATAATGTTAAAATTTACTATTTGTGTTTTTATGTGTGCCATTTTTAAGAGATTATAGATCGATTATCTACGTATTGGTGAACTACTAATTAATGAAAGTGATATTAACTAATTTATTAACAAAAATACAATGTAGAGATTTTTTATAATTGGTTTGAAATCATAGAGACAAATTAAAAATTGAAAAAAGTTTAAAAACAATAGTTAATCAAGCCTGGTATAGTTTACAATAGAATTAAATAAGAAGATGTCGAAGAAAAACTAAGAGTATAAGAACTTGATTAGACCTCAATTATACTACATATGTACATACTATGCACTACAGACTAAGTAAGATTATTTATGAAATGAAATAAATAAGAGACTTGATGACCGGTGCTGGTAATATGTACAATGGAACCGGAACTGATGATGTGTGATTTGCAAGAACCAGAGGATTCTAACTTCCTGGCATATTGTCCGCTATTGGAAGAATTCTGTCAGAGTTGGTTTAGGATTACGTACATATCTGTCTACATATATTAAAAATGTTTGAATAATATTTTTAGAAAAGTCAGATTGTTTTCATGAGAAAAAAATATAATCGTAGGATATATAAAAGATAAGTGAGAATATAAAATTCAATGGTTGAAATAAAATTTCGCAGAGAGGACGAGATGATTGGGACGTTTTTATGGGATTGCCCGGGTCTAAACGTTGTGGGTTTAATTCCCACCTGGGTTGTTTAATATTTATCTCGGCGTCCCCCCGAAAAAATAATCTTGACACCCCCACTCTGTTAAGTACGCGGCTGTAACATCAACATAGCCATCCATTTATACACCATCTAGACGTAGCATATGTTGAGAAGAATAGACTATAGCAAATAGAATTAGGATAGACCATAGCAAGTTCACCCAAGGGAATTATTGAGGATGGCCATCTCAATATTATTGAAATATCGCTATGTCCCTTCCGATTTTTGATATTTTACCATCGACATTATCTACAACGATATTATCGATTATCGATAACGTCCCTTCGATATTTGAATTTTTTAATTTAAAAATTAAAATTAAAACTATCAGTTTCGGAAATCGGTTGAAATTATGTATAAATCTGATAGTCAGAAAAAAATCTTCCCTCATATAGAATGTAGTGCTTAGTAGAGGAAAATATCGATATTTCGATTATATCGACTATCAATGGCCGCTCCTAAGTAGAGCTGAATAGCGCGCATGGGATCTTTCTCATCCAGTGAACTCAATTTGCCCAAATTTGTTAGTTAGGACCTTCTCAAATCAAGCGCACGAATTGTCAATATATCTATGTAGCATCCAAATAAATTAGCAATACGCTGAATCCAATATATGGTTGAATAGAAGGCATAATTGGTTCAATGGAAATTTCTGAAAAAAGCTGAGGATGGTGAAGATGAACAGGAAGTAGATTTTGATATTTCCATTAATTAATTTTAAGAAGAAAATAACATCTTTTTTGATACCCCTATGTGTTAGAGATAACATAACATAAATTAATATTTATAAATTGATATTAAAAAACATAACACTACATTCCATTTAATTATAAATATTTTATCATTTTATATTCATTCTCCGTAAAAAATAATAATTAATATTAGTATTCATAATTAATACACTTGATTAATTAATTAACTTGATTATGTGTAATTTTGTTAGTTATTAAGACTACTACACTTTTTTTTGTTCAATTAGTCTATTCATTTAGATATTATTAATAAACGTTGGGGCCTCAAAATACTTATTAAATACTTATCAGCGGTGGGCTGAATAGCAATATTTATAAAAGGGCGTTTTATAACATTTAGAACTTTTCGAAAAATGGAGCTGGAGAAAAAAATTATTTTCTAATTCATGTAGTAATTAATTTTCCTATCTCTTTATATTAAATGCCCATTTCATGTAATATCTATATATCTATATCTTTTAAGAGAAGGAAATGGTAGTTTTGGGGTACCTTGCAATCCAAATAACCAGGTTCCGAAAAATCGTCTGTGTGTCTGTGTGTTTGTATGTTAGCAGTCTAGCTCAAAAAAGAAATGTCGTACGAAACTGATATTACGTATTTAAGATAGGTATATGCCTTAGATGCGACAGCAACTTTTCCCTTAAAATCGGCTAACCGGAACTTTATCGTAAATAATAAATAAATAAATCATAATTTTTTTTTTATTATCGATGAAATATAGACTATCGGTATTTCAAGTCCGATAATTTTTAGGCATCGATAGTTATAGACTGATATTAATATCAGTGACGATATAGGTATTGGACCTTCAATATCTCATCGCTAGGAGGTACCACAGAAGTGTCGGAAATGAAATATTAATCTCACTGTAATACATATTTTTAAAGAATGCGTATATTATCGTATTTTTTAAACTTGTTAGTTTCCACAAAATAAATATATTAACGCTGGGATGACTAAAAACGCAGCCATTAAATTTATTTTAAATTGTAAATTGCTATCGAAGATTTAATAATATAGTATTATCATAATTCTACTCCATTATTGTTCCTTTCTATTTTTTTATTTCCCTTTCTTCTTCCTTTTGTCGAATGTAAATTATAAAAACATGATGTTTTACGTCCAGAAACCTTTTTAAAAACAAACAAAATTTGCGCAAAAATAACATCCAATCAAAAGGACCTGTAATCCGCGTTATGGACCTATTTTTATGAAATTAGTAACTTTCGTCAAAATCTTCGTGAATGGCTGCATTTTATCGTAACTCACAAAATTCTTATTTACGAAAATCTTGCAAATGGGACATCTTATATCCGGAGATTAGTAAATTTATATCAAGTTAATTAGATAATAAAAATTCACGCATCTGCTTTCCACTTGAATCGTTACATTATACAATATAATTCGATCAAAAAATCGAGAAACAAGGTGGCCTACAAAAATATTGGGCCATTTGGAGTGACCTCCATCCCTAATATATCGAAATAACGAGATTTTATATGCCAAACGGCCCAATATTTTTGTTGGTCACCTTTTCTCCCGATTTTTTTTGCTTGTGATCAAATTATCTTATGAGATTTGGCTCTCCACTAAACCATCGAATTCCTCTTGTACCCAAAATCCTTAATGCTCCTTACTTTGTTCAAAAAAAAAAAAAAAATCCATAACGACCTGAATATTCCACATGTTTCCGATTTGGCCAAATCAAGATACCAAGATACCATTCCTTCCAGAATAATCTTCAGAACCGTCCTAATCCTCTCGTTTCTACCTTGCTTCCTCCTTCTTGAAAAGAAGACGGCCTCGTGATCTCTTAATTTAGATACTTTATTAGAGTGCTACCAATGAGTAGATTCTCTACAAGCCTTGGCATACCATATATTTCTCTTTGTCACATCTACTGAATTTATATTAATTTGTACACAGTTGTATACTTCATAAATAATCATGATAAAAATATTATCTTACGATTCTAGTGAAATGTAAACGGGTATCCATAAATTGTTATTACCTCATTCAATTAATTAATTCAACCAGAAACTCTGATAATTTTCGTATATAAAAAAAATTGTAGGTTACGATAAAATGAGGTCACTCTCGAATTTTTAATCGATTGATAAGAATTTGATAAAAAGGAGTCCGTATTGCATTGAGCGGACTGTTGCATTGCTTCGCCGAAAAAAGACTTTCCTCGACGATATGTGGAATAATATTTACACACGATATATAAATAAACAAGTGGGTCATACGCGTTGATATGTATTCGTAGTACGCGCTAAGGCCAATGATCCACACAAGAGAGGTGGTGGGGGAAGGGCCAGCCGGCATCTGTCAGTTGTGGTTGTCAGTAGCTGATGGTTGTGAGTACTGTGAGGTTCTGTTGTGGATCGGTAGTTTGTGTACGTAAACAGCAGCTGTAGGTACCACTGGGACCATGACTGCCATCGACAATCTCCAGCACTGGAGGTACGTCATCTCTCTCTAATCGTCTTCAGCAGTGAGTCCGATCCTGAGGGAGGCAATGATTACAAAAAGTCGAAGTTTCAACTTGTAATAATAATAGTTCCGGTTAAATATTGTATTATAAAAATAAACCTGAACCATTAAAACCCGTCAATAATCTTGAATTAAATACTTGATGAGGAAGAATGTTTTCTTGACCTACTGTTAGATAAGGAGCATCATCTTAGGTCAGTATCCGCGCTCGTAAAGCGAGAACTTAACTTAAAATAGCCGCCGTGGTCCACAAAGATTTTGATGTATAGTATCAGCGAAACATGTTTGTTCATATATACAATATAATATTATCAAGATAGTCTATACAACAAACGTAGTTGGTGAAGCTTTTAAAAATAAATTGTTTGATCATGACTGTTAGAGTAGCTATTTACTTAATAAGCAATTAGCTTATCCCATTGGATGATATTCCTCCAGTTTAATAGTTGAGCAACAGCGATCTCCAAACTAATCTATATGTTATCCTTCTACCCATAACTTATAATAATCAATTATTGTACTCCCTTAAAACCTATTTGTTTGGTGATGAAGAGTCGTTGTTTGTAGTTCTTTCACATTCTAAGAATATTGTACAAGTCTACCACCTAGTGTAGTAGAAGACAGAGCTGGATATTTTTTTATTTATAAAAAATATTAAAACTAGAATTGCCCAAATGCGAGACCATGATGAGTCTTTGTCTTGTACAAGAGGCTCGCAACAGTCTTGCAGTTATCTATAGAGATATTACTGTGATTTTTCATATAGGGGAAATCAGACTAAGCCGGAATAAAAAATTGAAAGAGTTAAATGAAAAAGTATATTAGCTATACCAATTCTTTACATATTTTTTAAATTTCTTAATGATATTTACAACTGTATAAAAGAAATACATTTAGTAAATTTGAACATATGGATTAATGACGTGAAAACACTTGTTGAGAAACTACCCAATGGTAGCACTCTAATGATATATCTACATTAGGAGATCACGTGGTCATCTTCTTTTCAGACGCCTCAGAGGGTTATTAGGAATTGAAGAGTAAGCAAGGTTAGAAACGAGCGGGTTGGGATGATTCTGAAGTTTATTATGGAAGGATAGGTATCTGGATTGGTCCAGATCTGAAACATAAGAAACATTAAGGTCATTCTGGATGGTTTTATTTGTAACAAAGTAAGAAGTATTAAGGAATTTGGATTGTAAGGATTGGATACGAGAGGAATTCGATGGTTTAGTGGAGCCCCATAGCTCAACTCCGTAAGTCCTAATAGGCCTTATTATAGTCATGTATATGATTCTTTTGTAATTAATTGGAAGTTTAGAGCGTTTGTCTAGTAAGTGCTGAAGTAATCGGAAACGTCGAGCGGTTTCTTGTCGTTTCAGTATGGTATGATCTTTACATATAAAAATAAAATTTTCAAGTATTAGTTTCTATTTTGTCTTAATTTTTATTCACAAAAACGATTAATGTTTTTTTTTTTAAAGAAGTCTTGGTCTTGGTCACGACTGATTTTGGGCAATACCAATTAAAACGTTTATTTATATATCATCCTAGCTGACCTAAAGACCTTAGATCTGTACATCGAAGGCTATTGATATATTTTAATTTTATAAATTCCAATATATCATAATTATCTCGTGGCAACCATATCACCATAGAGGTTTTCGGCAAAAATTATGATTTATCTCGGAAACGGTTTCAAAGAAACTATACCGGCTCTTAATGACCGTCTCAAAATCTTCAAAACAAATTTTATTCTGTCTCGAACCGTTGCCTTCTGAAACCGAGTTTTAAAACCTACCAATTTTTTCACTGACTTTTATTAGAGTTTTTTTTTTTTGAATTTATGAATCGAAATTAGGATTCGTCACTTCTTCGTGAAATTCTCTTTCGTTTGATAGCTCGTTTATCAAAATCCACCCCTCCTGAGAGCCGGAAAAGAGATATGTATTTACGTATTACATATATTGTAGATATTATATAAAGGCTTGTTGCACTAAACATATTTAAAAAGAGAAATAGTGTGATTTGATAGATGCATTCTGCTTCGACACAACACTGAAAAAAAAGAATAAATGGCATTAGGGGAAAAAATCAACAATTTAGAGATCGTCCTGCTACTTCGAGAATACAACAAAACCATCAAAAAAAAAAAAAAAAAAAAAAAATTAAAATACTTATTTATTTAGTTATATTTGGGTGCCATGTGCAACTACATAGGTTAGAGGCACTTTATTCAATTTCAATTTCATTACATATACAATGAAAATATGTCTCTAAAAACATTGTATTGTATCTGGTGATATTTTGTTATTAACATAACATCAATAATAATAATAATAATTAAAAACTGATGATAATAATAATAATGATACCAACAAATGGTGTGATTCTAAAGACAACGGTGGCAGATACCGATGACTTGGAATTTCTCCTTGGTGTGCTAAAAGAGGCACGCCAATCACTTCTTCTGGACAAAATCAGAATAGGAAGAAAATCTTTAAACATTTAAAGAAAAATTATATTTGTGAATGGTAGGCAAACCCGAGAAAAATAAAGAATATGATAATTTTTTTTATTTTTTATTTATTTAGACATATAATATTCTGTCACAGGGACAGTAATTATATTGATAAATGAACACATTCACACCGTATATACAAAAAAGAAACAAAATTAGCAAAAGTAAAATAATAACTAAATAATAATAAATAAAAACTATATACAATAAAACAATAAAATAACCTAAATATAAGTAAATCAAAAACATAAAAATACAGTCATACCTATATACAATCAGGCGGGGAACCCAAATCCCTGCGCTACTCTGTTATTATGATAATAATAAAAATAAGCAATTTTTTTTACGTTCCTTCGAGTATTTCTTTCCGGGATGTGGATACTATTTCAAAAATCTGATAAAGCTAAGAAAATAAATAAATAATAATAATTTAAAAAAAAAACGAACTAATGAAATAACTCTATTTGTCCTGACTTAATACACGTACATATTTGTGTCCATGAATGTTGATACTTGGTGTTGTAGCCGGATTCTTACAAAACCGAAACGAAACTCAAGACACTTCTATATTAATTATACTTTCTGTATGTTACATCCTTAGATATAAGGAATTATCTGCATCTTGGCATGTACAGATGAATGAAATGAACTGGCAAGAAGCCAAAACGTATATAGGAAGGTAGGTACTGGAGTACTACTTAAATTACGAGTTTCATTATGCAAAATAATAAACTAAATATGCGAATATATTTTATCCGTGTTGCGACAGAGTCCTTTCCGTAATTGATTTTTTTTTTCATGTATTTGAAATTTATATTTATCGCACACATCGTCATGATACGATATGAAACCAACAAAAACCTATTTTTAAAATACTCACGGGATCTCACCGAATAATTCGAGCCGTGCAACATGAAAACCAGTTGAGCCATTCGCACAAAATAATGTTACATACCTACAAACGTTCAAGCAAAATACATTACTCTATTTCTGGCATAGTCGAATAAAAATCAGGCACTATTGCTTTTTCCAATCTTTTACAGGATAATGGGAAACCTTTACATAATAATTTATTTAGGTATATAATAAAAAAAAAGAAGGAATATTACAGTATTTTAATATGTTATACAAACATATTATAACGTATTATTATAACTATCGACCTTAAACCAATTATACTGGCACCTATGTACACTTATGGTAAGGACGACTTCCTATACTCGATTTCGGGTTCGGTATACTGTTTTATGTTGTTAGGAAGAAAGGTGGCAATGTTTGACTCTTACACTATCCACTCCGCCGTCAAATATAAACAAGAAAATAAATTTGGGGTATTAGGGACACGTTCTCCGAAAAACGCAAACCGGACCCGAGAATCGCATCTTCCACTCGCTCACTGCTAACTGTAAAAACAGGTTGACTTTAAATATTGACAAATAATAATTTCACTTTTGAACAGTATGTTGTTTGAGACTAGTGTTGCCCAAAATCGGTCTTGGTCTTGCACCTTGCAAGATCAAGACCAAGGCCGCCAAACTGTTGCAAGATCAAGATCAGGACTGGTTAAAAAAATCTATTTTTCAAAAATAAAAATTAAGGCAAAATAGTTACTTATACTTGATAATCTTAGTTACTATGTGTTAATAATTGGTATAACCAACATACATTTGCATTTAACTCCTCTAATTTTTTATTTGGGCTTAGTTAGGTTTCCTCCTATCTAAAAAATTACAATAATATCTATATGGTAATAAGCTTATAAGTAACTGCGAGACTCTTGCGCAAGACCAAGACCATGACCAAGACTGAGTTTGCAAGACCAAGGCTCGTCTCGGTCTCGCATTTGGACAACACTATTTGAGACTCTGAGACTTTGAGAGCGAAAACCAAAAAAAGGTGCAGAGATCTCGTGCCGAAGTTTCTTATATACCCCACCGAAAAATTGAAATTTTAATTTATTATGATTTTAATGTGATGTAGTTTTCTGAATTTATTGAACTAAAATTTAATACTCCTAACCCGTTGGAACTTGTGAAGTCGATTTTCAATGTAACCAGATCAACACTTTTCCACATTATCCCTATCCATGAATCAGTTTACAGATATTAGCAACGATTCATAATAGGATGAAAAAATGAAAGAAAATGATATTCCTCCAAATATTGTTTTGACAAGACTGTGACTAATCATTTTGGCTTAGAAGAGATCATATGTGTGCATATGACTATTTTTATATTTAAAAATGTTGTACCTTTATTCAAATCTTTGTAACTTTCCTTACTACGTTTTTTGTCTTTGACAATGTTTTAACAAAATGAATGAAATAAAATCAAAAGTGGATGTAAATTATTTTTTATTAAACCATCTACAAAATTTAAATGACCACTATTTAAAGAAATGAGAAACAGACGATAAATTTTATTCATTAAGTTTGCTTTATTCATAAAGG